AAGTATAGTTAGTTTCGGAGCACCTCTCCTTTAAGCGAGAGCAAAGATGTGATTTACGTGCATGCCGTAGTACGTGCTAGCAGAATTCATACGCGGCCTAGGCAAAATACTATTGTAGGCGTCGTTGATTTAAAGAAGATTGACGCATTTTGTATTGTTACGCTCGGATTGCTTATATAGGATCCTACGTTTCTTAAATAGCGCAAGAAGGGCAGATCTAGTTAGGTCGGTATAGCTAGAAGCAGCATTTAGAGGCCTAGTAAGGCCCGAGCGTTAGTCACCGGGATTCATTTCCCTCTAGTTGCTAATAGCAAGGTTAACGAGCGCTATAAAGGAATACTAGCTAATATCGCGAATAGTAGATATAGGTATCCGGTTTCGTGCATTTACCTTAAGTCGGCGCGCGCAGTACAAGCAAAGATCGTTAGGTCTATCTTCGTTTTCGGTCTAGCCGTTATTATCGTTATACGTGCCGCAGTTCTTATATATATACTCGTAATCAATCTTTCTATAACGCACCTGTCTCTCGCTACTCTTTACCTCCTTAACGTAGCAGCTTCTATAGATATACTAATTCTTGTATAGCAATGCGTAGCTCCTCTTAGGGTTCTTTAGTATAATATTAGTATATCCCTCCTTAGGGCACCGTGCTCGATCGGGATCTAGCTTCTTCTAAGGCCTTCTAAGACCGGCTTTTTTCTCCTTTATAAACCAGCCTCTATAAATAGGCTAATTCTCGTATAGTAGCTCGTAGCTTCTATAAGGGCTCCTCTTAGCTATAATATTAGTATATCCGTACTTAGAGCACCGGGCTAGACCGGGATCTGGCTTCTTCTAAGGCCTTCTAAGACCGGCTTTTTTCTCCTTTATAAAGTAGCCTCTATAAATAGGCTGATTCTCGTATAGTAGCTCGTAGCTCCTATAAGGGCTCCTCTTAGCTATAACATTAGTATATCCGTACTTAGAGTACCGGGCTCGACCGGGATCTAGCTTCTTCTAAGGCTATCTAAGACTATCTTTCTTCTCCTTATTGTAGTAGCCTTTATAGATATGCTAATTCTCGTATAGCGGGACGCGGCTTATAGGACCGCCCTTCTTTAGTAGTAGATTCGTACAACCCGCCTTAGGGCACCGTAATCGATCGGGATCTAGCTTTCTAAGACTATCCTTCTGCTCCTTCTTATAGTAGCTAAAGCAGATATACTAATTCTCGTATAGCGGAACGCGGCTTATAGGACTATGCTTCCTTAGTACTAGATTCGTATAACCCGCCTTAGGGCACTGTAATCGATCTTTACTACTACCGCTACCGTTACCGCCTTTACGTTCGGATATTAGAGGTCTTAATATTAGGATAGAGGCGAAGGCCGTAGACTGCTATCGATAGCGGAGTAAGCGGAAGAGCTACTAAGAGGTGCTAAAAGCCTACCTCGAGATGCGCGACTATAGCGCTAGATAAATGAAGCTTTTAATTAAATAGGATGTCTTAGAATGTAATTGATTTTCGGAGGCAGAAGCGCGTTGCGAAGTTTGTATAACTTCCGCTAGGGAAGCAAGAACGACGCGTGTCTGTCGTTTTGTAATCGGACGCGACTACGCGAGAAGGAGATTTTATATACGCGCGGGTTCCTATAGGTTATATACACCGTTTATCGCGCTAATTAGCATAACGGATATCGTATTCGTAAAGGTAGATACGCTACAAGCGAAGACTAGACCCCGCAGTAGTCCGGGTTAGTTTGGTTTAGTTTGCTAAGCCGAAATTCTAGTTTGGTTTAGTTTAGTTTGCTAAGGAACCGGTGCACGGACCGGTTTGCCGGCTACGTGCCGGCTACGGACAAAAACCTAACCTAAAACACGTCTAAACACTGCAAACAGCCCGAAACACAGATACAATCGTATAGATAGGGCCCCTAGACCCGATCCGAGGTCGTCGCATGTCGTCGCATATCGTCGCAGTTTAGTCGGATGTTCTCGGAAACCGGCTTAGACTAGCGGGGTAAAAAACTAAACCGGAACCAAACCGGAGGGGTACCGCTAAGAAACCAAACTATATACGTTCTATAGTTCGCAAACCGAACTACTACGGGGTCTAGCGAAGACAGTCTTGTCGGTGTTACTACTACTTGTAAAGTTGTCTTCGCGCGTGTCGTAAATCGTAAATCCTAGATTAAAGCTTAGACTTCCTTAGTTAAGTAGGTCTAAAGAAAACAGAGCTTTGCCTCTTTAAGCTACGGGTATAATAGCGGGCCTTTGCTTGCTACTATTCTTCTTCCTCTTGCTCTTAGGTTCTTCCGCTTCGTACTTAATACTCGTACGTTAATACTCGGAGCTAACAACTATATCGAACACCTTTATTTATTTAGAATAGCTAACCGACCGCTAAGAGTTGAAGCACTCTATAAGTAGACTAATAAATAGAGTAGCGACATTTCTAAGCTTAGAAATCTAGTAGATTCTATTATCGAGCTCTTTAACGAAGGAGAGGATATAGTAAGACAATCGCAATAGGATTAGATTATCTACTCGAGCCTTAACTAACTATTCTCTCTCTCCCTTTTAGTCTATAGTAGACATAACTTGCTCGAATCTCCTAATATTTTGCCTAGCTAAAGAGAAAGTCCTATTGCTATATACTACCTACCTCTAGGTAATAATAGCTCGGGCTATACTTATAGACGAGGAAGATATCGACCTCGAAGGAGTTAAGGAATAGTACGATAGAGCATCTGCTTCGCTAGAGGACCTGCTAGAGCGCTTCGACAATATATACGGCGAGGGCGAAGGAGCTCTACGTATAGCGGCTTTAGGCGAAGAGATCGATAGACTTTAAAGCGAGCTTAACGATACGAAAGACGAAGCAAAGCGCGAATCGAGCTCTTCTAATAAAGACGTTTATACTCCGCTAAAGTATACTAATATGCCTAATTCTAGCAGCGTTAAGCCGATCGAGCCTATAGCGCAGACCTCCGACCCGAAAGGTAACGCAGACAAGCTAGTTATTCCTAAATCTACTAACCTAAGCAAGCCTCTAGTTACTAATAGCTAGTAGCCTAAGGCAACGAGTAAAACAAGAGCGAAGCGATTCCCTAAGATATTAGGAAACATACCGATATATATAGGAGGTACCGGAGCTATAGGGGCTAGTATATACATTCCGGCGGTAGGTAGATATAAGATACGGGAAAAGCCTACGATGCCTAGGCCCTTCGATAAGGTAGTTACTAGAATCGAGAATAGTATTAGAGACGCTATAGGGACTACTTCGGCGAAAGTTCGTTAAGTCCGTAAGGTTAGCCGAGACTTAAACGCGCTTATTATACCGTCGAAGGACAAAACTACTACTACTTACTAGAAGGATTTACGCGAGCGACGTAAGCCTACGAACTTAACTATATTAGTTAAGCAAGATAGCTATACTAAGAACGACTAGACTTAAGGTCCTCGTACGCTATTCTAGCGCCTCTTTAAGTTCGGTTAGGGCAAGAAGGAGAGCAAGCCGTATAAGGATACTAATAGTAGTTAGGAGGAGTAAACAGAGTCGCTAAAGTAGATAGAGCGAGCAGATTAAACAGAGTAATAAACAGAGTAAACAGCTCGATAGATAGATAAACGAAGTTAGAGGACAGATTAATAAGGTAGTGTTAACTAATTAAAGTACAGAATAGGTCCGCCTCGATCTTATCTCCGAATAGCTCCGGAAACTTTATTACCTATAGATCCTACCGAGAGCTCTACTTCTAGTCTCGACGACGACGATCTTTAGACGTTGTAGCTATATTACTTTTAGATGCTACTGCCGCAGGGCTGTTACTCTTAGCAGACTGCGCTCTAGATTAGCCTTGTTAAGACGATACTTGCGTATATTGCGTCTAAACGCTCGCCTTATAGCAGTATAGAACTATCTTTAATAGCTAACGTAATACTTAAGTTATGCCTCTGCCTTAGAGATCGCAGTTAGTTACTCGCTATCCGTAATAGGCCGTCGTAGGCGCATCGCTCGGCTCTGTCTTAGTACCTAATACCCTCGAGGATTCCCCGAGCCCTAGCTACCCGCCCGAGCCCTAGCTACCTATTAATTCTTAAGCAATACTAAATGAATTCGAGTCTAGCGAGTCTGTACAATACTCTCGCCTCCCTCGCCTTAAGCTCGCTCGTTAAGGATAAGAATAAGACTCCCTTTTCTAGGGGCCTATGCCTTACGCGCTCGGGTATCGTACGTCGTCGCTATCGCTCGTACCTCGCTGCTCTAAGTACTTACTTCGCTCGCAAGCTCGCCTCGCTTGTCTAAAGCTAAGTCAAGTTCCTAGGGGAAGCTAATGAATGTGCTAGGGACCGGGCGGGAAGCTGGGGCTCGGGGAATCCTCGAGGACCTAACACCGACCCGCAAGGCTTGCAGCAGGTTGCCTACAGATGGAAGCGCCCGAATAGGTAGTGCTGTACTATTCCGTAAGCAGCCTAGCATCAATTTAGAGGTACCACACAGATCACAGCAGGCCATGCGCGTGGCAGTCAGTGCCAGTCACCGCCCTTTTCCTTAAACCAACATTTCTCCTCAAATTGTACACTGCGATTAAGCGAGATGGCGGACGGGGGTAATCCCCGTAAACGGCAGCTAGCTTGAAAGCGTTAGACGTGAACTTTTTAAAGGTACGGATAATTCCTTTAGGCAGTACGCTAGCTTTGACCAGTTAGATCCCGTTTTCAGGGATTACCGCCGTCCGCCATCTCGCTAAATCGCGGTGTACATACTGTTCCACATATCCCAGCCCCATTCGGGCTGGTGAGCACAGCGAGGCTACGCCGGATACACGATTGCCGTTTGTTGCGCTTGATTTCTAATCCTCGTCAGTAGCTCGGGCACAATGCCGCATAGTCACCAAGTGCTCGACAACAAGGTCACAGGCGTGGCAAGTCTCGTCTGAGGGACACAACAAGCTTAGTAGACCTGCCAGTAGCTGCTTTCCTTCATCGTGCCTCTCCTTGCGACTCTGTGCAGAATGACCAACTATCAGATTGACATTGTCTCCGATAATGTCTGCCCCTGGTAGGTGTTGAAGACCCACAGAGCTATACCTGGTGCTGATACCGTACAGGTGCTATGTCGGCAAGAACAGACTGGAGCTCGCAATCAACCAACATAAACAGAGCAATCCAAACGACACCTTCTCCATCACATGGCATCCATTCTACTTGAACCCGGACGCGCCCAAAAGCATAGACAAGCAGGCTTACTATGAGAGTAAGTTTGCTCCGCAGAGGACGCAGGTCATGCAGGGCCATCTCGCAAGGCTAGGAAAGCAAGTCGGAATCAACTTTGCGTTTGGAGGACGCACTGGCAATACAAGAGACAGCCATCGACTAGTCCAGCTTGGAAAGACAAAAGGTCCGGCGCAAGAGACCAAGGTCATCGAGCAGTTGTTCAATGCATACTTTGAGGAAAACGAGGACATTACAGACCAAGAAGTGCTGATTGCGCGAGGCATTGAGGCAGGTCTCCCGGAGCAGGAAGTGAGGGACTGGATGGCTACCGGTAAGGGCGGCGAGGAAGCTGATAAAGAAGTGGCCGATGCGCAGCAGAAACTCATAAAGCGGCGTCCCAAACTTCACTGTGAACGGG